CTTACCCTTTATGCGTTATTTACAATGTTCAACCTACCGAGTTAATTTGTGGTGGCCTTGTGGCACTTCTGTTTCCAATTATGCCTAATCCTATTAATGACTCCTCATTGATGCCACTTTACCTTTAATTGAACATTTGAACTCGTGGCTCGTGGGTGATATGTGTATATGGTATACTTACATCGAACTCTTAACAAGAATAAAAAATGAAAAATAAAAATTGGATATTATTCTTAAAGTTTAGAAATAAATTGTTATTTATTTTGGTTTTGTCGTTTAGGGAAAAACGCCAAGGGAGAAAATTGAAGTCAAAATGAGAGAGAGAAATAAAAAACATGCAGAATGGGAACGTGATTGAGTTGAAGGCCATATAGTTGAGAAAATTCAAGATTTCAGTATGGAAAGAATAGAGGTACTAAACATCCCGAGCAAGCATCATACTAATCCTGACCCCAAAGCATATATATGTGTTCGAGGGACAATTACAGGAACACTTTGGAAGTGAATCCGTGGATACACTGTTCGACCTATACACAGAAGAAACTGCATTTCTATCGAATCCTAAAGAGGTCACATTTGTCCGCGTTAAAGTGTAAAAGAATGACTTGACCTACAGAGTCAAAATCATGGGCCAGTCCACGAACTTTCTTTTCTTCTCGTCTTCTGCATTTCTCTTTGAATTTCAGTGTGATTACCATGTTCTATTGCTGCCCTAATTGGAAAGTAAAAATTCGTGGCAATTATTTAATTTATTTTAATGAAATTACAACAATAAGTAAAGTGCTTGCAATAATATTTAACAATCTACACCGGACCTTACTAAAGATTGTACATAATTAAGTTATTAGATTTTGTTTTATAGATTTATTAGAGGTCTTTGAGACGGCAAAAAAAGACGTAGACTTACGAGCAAGGGACGATCCTCTAAAATAAGTCGAAAGTGAGTAGTGTTCTTGCCGATTTTCTTCACTATGAAGCCTAGACTCATGTGTTCCAAGGAAAATTGTATTTTGTCGATTTAATTCCTATTTGCATACTCCATGATTCATATTCTTACATTTCTTAGACCATCTTTATATTATAGGGGCGGAGCTACACTTGGACACCCAAAAATTTTGAAAATTTCTTTTTAAATAATAATAATAATAAAAAGAAATAAAAGCGTTCTTCCTTTCGACCATATTCTGTACTTCTTAATATCTTATCTCTAAATACTTCTTGGAAGGTTTTAGTTAGCAGTTTCTTAAAAAAATTTAGTTAAAAAACAAAGTGGTATATATTTTTGAATGTGTCGGAAACAATTATAGTTATATTATTTAAAATTATTTTTAATATATAATTTTTGTCTACCAAATATATATATCCTGGCTCTTCCTTCTTTGATTTGGTTTGTTGAATTCCTTTGGCTATAGAAAGAATCCACCAAGGAAACAACAAATTGGCTAGGAATGATTCAGAATCAAGATCGGGGACTTTGATTACATCACATGGCAAGTTGAGAGTAACGAAGGTTTGAGTTGCTTTTAATTTTTAGTTCATGTGAGTGAAGTGACCCCCAAAAATTTTTGGGATATTTTTATTTGGATGAATTAGGCCCAGTGTCCTTTAAAATCTTCCATAAGACAAATTAAACCATGTTTTCCCACTGGAGGCTTCTCCTCTTTAGAATTTGTTTTGATAACATACTTTGCAAATTCTGCAACTGTAACCATATTCGTTGATGGGGTCTCAGAAACTAATTGTTGTTCCTTAGTTGAATAATCTATCGGAACCAGAGGTCTCATCTTCTTTTCATTGTGCGCGTCCTCGTCCTCGTCTTCGTTAAATACAGAAGGTATTGTATTCCTCATCCTCATTCCGGTTAGATGGGCATCATTATTTAATTTTGTCAAAGAAGTAAGATCCTATAGCTATCAAATCCTAATGGTAAGGAGTGCTTATGTTTATGATCTTTGAAGATAAGAATTGGAGAAGTCATAATCTTCTTTACTTTAAACTTACTCATTAGGGGCTTTGTATAACTTGGGTTTGCCTGGGATTGAATCGATAATAGATGTTCCAATTTTTAGTGCAATCTCATTCTGTGCTGAGTGGCTCATTGCAAAGCAATTGTTGAAAAACTGGATAGTTTCTCAATCTTGAATTTCCCGGGCTCAATTTCTCCAAACAACACCACAGTAGAAAAATCGGTTGCTCCAACTATAAAAGTCAGCCCACAAAGGACTCAGTGTGAAGAAGAAGATAGCCTCAATGTTTAGCCACCAAAGCTAGAGAATGAGGGAGAAAATGGATCACCAAAGAAAAGACACAATGCCAAAGCACGTGAATAGGTTTTCTCTTCTCACACAAAACAGCTTCCCTCAATTTCACACCCCTAGCAACAATAATGAGCAAGAGGTTAAATAGGTGAACTTTAGGTTTGGGCCTTATGTCAAATAATAGTGCCCAATATGAAAGGGTATAAGTGGGCTAATAGATGTAAAGCCATCCAAGGTCTTTGGGTCGGGCCATGAGCAACCCTAATTAAATTAGGCTACTTCAAATTGCCCAAATAGGTTGTGGGTTTGGTTTGAACTATTATGTTGTTGATATTTCATTTCACTCATCGGTCCAGACCTATGAAGTAATTCAAATACAAAACACGGTTTAACATCATTGCCCGAATTTATTGAGTATCAAAACCCAACAGTAATCACATCTGAAGTTTTAACAGTTAGACAAAAATGCTAAGAAAATAAAAAAATTATGCAATGAGGAACTGTTGGGTGTTAAGAACCTATTTTTATTCGAGGATCTCTCAATACGATGTACATTTTAGAGTAATATGCTAGTCTTAATGCCTGGAATGTTCTCTAAACTTTTGATGCTACACATATCTGATGTTCTTGTGTGATGCACTCAACTTCTGAAGAGGATGACTAGCTTCATAACGCAGCACATGCTCACATACTTTTTTGAGACACGGCGTACTGTGCTGAAACCGATGTGACAACAGTGGCTTTGACGTTAGTGGGTGTCCCGATTTTATAATTTTAGCTTTCTGAACGAGCATAGAGCAATCAGGGAGCCCATTGTATCATATCCTAGTTCTTATTGGTCATCTCTTTAAATGATAGAACATCCACTTTCTTTTATTAATTTCCAGAAGCAGAAAATGTGCAATCCGTGCAAAAGTATATAACATGCTTGGAGACAATTATCAAAGCTTTCTAAACACAGGTGAAGCGTTTTTTCCTTTTTTTTTTTTTCCCCCGTTTTTCCTTTTGCAGGAATATTTTTTAGAAATTTTAATATTATTATTCTTCTGGCATGGCAGTAAGAAATCACTTGTTCTATTTGCCAAAAATTATAAGCAAGTTTTTGAAGTAAAATTTAGCATGTCGTGTTAGGTATATGTTAGGTATACTTTTCCATGTTACACATTGGATGAAGGGTTACTTGTTAAGAGAAGTTATTTACATTTTCCAGTTTTTAACCCATTATTTCCTTCCATTCACCACTCACCAGGAGTCATCTCAAACCTGTACAATATGTACAATGTCACTTTTTTTTTTAGTGTTTATCAATTTTTTGAATAGTATTTGTCACTTTTTTGAATATGTCCGTGTTTGAGTTCCATTGCTTCTGTTTTGTTTTTATGTGTATAGTTTTTTTGTACTTAGGCTTGAGTTTGCTGGTGATACTAGTGGTGACGACGAAGAAGGCGAAGGAACAATGGTTGTGTCGACGGTTTAGTTGATAGATGACGGTGGCGATGAATTGATTTAATGATACTTGACGTTTTGATTGATGTTTTGTCGATGGACTGACTTAAAAGATGTTTGGCGATAAACGCAGAAAGAGGAGGGACGCGATTGTTTAATTTTTATTTTTATTTTATTTCTATCAGTTTATTGAACTGGTTCCAATTTTTTAATTGGTGTTTTGTTTCTTTGTTGAATTTCTGTCACATTTTAAGTCTCTCACATTTTTTAAATTTTGTCACATTTTTATTGTTGTCATTTTTTAAATATTTGTCACTTTTGTATGTCACTCATTTGAAATTTATATCACTTTTTTGAGTAACAACATCACTTTTTAATATAAATTGTATGTCACTTTTTAATCAAATGTGACACTTAACTTTAATAAGTGATACTTAACTTTATTCAATATTTTTTATTTTCAAAATATTTTTCATATGATTTTTCAAAACGTTCTTAATTTTAAGGATGTTTTTGTAAGTTACCCATTTGTTAAATAATACGTACGTACCAGCTACCTAGCCCACATTTTCAAGCCAATTTACCCGACTTCTACAGATTCCCGACTTCTTCTCTCTGTTCTGCAGACACGGCCACAAATCATCTACGATGCTCCTTCGCGACCACACCTGCTAACGTTGCGTGCTCCCTCCATCAAAATAAAAAGGTATTACCAGTACTTCAGTATTATAAAATATTGATATATACGTGAGTGATTTTTTTAAAATGTTGAAATATATGTGGGTTTCGATATGTCATATGAATCTGATTTTTTTTAAAAATTTGTGTTTATTCTGACCGAGTGAACATCAGAACATGAGTAATGGGTTATTGGGTTTGGATTTGGATTTGGATTTGATTTTTTGCAAATCCAAACCCTTGTCATATGAATCTGATTTTTTTTTAAAAAAAAATAAAATTATGTATGGATTCTTCGCTGTTACTTTAATTTTCTAGAACTCCATCTTCAAAAGTGAAAATAGGGAAGACTGTGATTTTTTAAAATGCATATTCTGGGAACTAATTGTGAAAAATGCATAGGTTTCCAATTATGTGTGTATAATGTATTCTGACCGAGTGATTGTCAACGTGGGTTTGGAATCTTTGGATTTGATTTTTTTGCAAATCCAAACCCATGTCATATGAATATATATTTTTTAAAAAAAATTGGGTGTATTCTGAGTCTCTGACCGAGTATGTATTCTGAACAAGTGAGTCCCATTTTTAGATAATATGTGTGTGTAGAATTGATAATTGATGTTTGATGATAATTGGTGTTTAACATTTCCTTTCGAAATATATGGTACTCAATCAATTGAGGAACTGCTGAATTGAAGATGTTTAAATTATAGTTTCGTGGATGACTGAAAATATTATTCAACAGGAACAAATACAAGATACAAGAGAAGGCTGAAAATATTTGACTTCATTCTCAATTCCAAGTAAGTAATAGCTTTCTCTAATGTGGTGATTTAAAATTGTTTATGAACTTTTAGATGTTTATTATGAATTTAATGTTGTTTTTTGATAAAAAAATGAAACATGGTATTTATTTACTTATTTGTTTTTGAATTTGATTTTTTAACAGTCATAAAGAAATATTATAAACGAAATCCATGTTTTCGTGTGGAGAGCAAAATATTGTTGACCCCACAATACAAACCAACATATATTTCAACATTTTTACAAATTACAGGCGCGTGCACACACATATATATTATACTACTGACTACTGAGATACTGGTAAATGCCTACCTTTTTGATTTTGATGGAGGGGCAGTCGTGGAGGAGCCTCGTAGGTGATTTGTGGCTGTGACTGTAGAAGAGAGGAGATGAGAAGTCGGGAAAATGGGCTTGAAAATGTGGGCAGGGTAGTGGGTACTTGCATATTATTAAATAGAAAAATATCCCAAATTTTTGTGGGGTCACTTGTCCCCACATGAACTCATGTGGGTCCGATCCTGCTTACTCGGTAAATTTTTTTTAAAAATTACTGTCATTAGTTAGCCTATCTTATCCCATAACACCAATTCAATACTCTCTGTTCATTATTGGCCACCTCAAACTCATCTTGCTACTCATCTATATATATATATATATATATATGCAGGCAGCTAAGATTAAAATTACTATGCATCAATTAAAAAAAAAAGGTTCAAACTTGTTTCTCCACATAGATTGAAGATGCCTACCGAATCTGCAATGAATGGAGGGATTGGAACTGAAAGCTATGCCAAGAACTCAAGATACCAGGTAGTTCCTTCTTAATTTAGCCATGAAAAAAAGAATCATGATTCTATTTTATAAATATGATGTTAATGTGGTTTTTCTGCAGAGGGGAATAGCGGAGACAGCGAAGGAAATTATAACAGAAGGAATTAAGAAAAATCTCGACATCGAAAAGCTCTCCTTAACTTCAGTAAATACTTTTCGTATTGCAGATTTCGGTTGCTCTACAGGACCTAATACATTCATTGCAATGCAAACAATAGTTGAAGCAGTATGGAAAAAGTTTGAAACTGAATTATCTGATTCACAAGTCCCTGACTTTCAAGTCTTCTTTAATGATCGAACCTCCAACGATTTCAACACTCTTTTTGCCTCACTTCCACCAGAAAGAAAATACTACGCGGCTGGAGTTCCTGGTTCGTTTTACAAACGCCAGTTCCCGAAGGACTCGCTTCATTTTGCTCATTCATCGTGTACACTCAATTGGCTTTCTGTGTTACCTCAAGAGATACTAGATAACTCTTCTCCTGCATGGAATCAAGGAAAAATTACGTATTCTGGAGAGAGAAAGGAAGTGTTTAATGCTTATGCACTTCAGTATGCTAAGGATTTGGACTCGTTTTTTAAAGCAAGGGCACAAGAGTTGGTTTGTGGAGGCTTAACGGCACTCGTCATTCCATCTGTGCCTAACCCTAATAATGATTTATCTAATATCACTTTCCCTTCATACGATCTTCTGGGGGATTGCCTCGTTGAGTTGGCTGAGAGGGTATTCAGTACTATAAAGAACTGAACTGAATATTATATAGTAACTTATTGAAGAAGTCATTAATGTTGTTTCTTGTTGCAGGGACGATTCGATGCAGCCAAAGTGGACTCGTTCAACTTGCCTGTATATTACACATATCCAAATGAATTGAAGGCCATAATTGAGAAAAATCAAGATTTCAGTATTGAAAGAATAGAGGTACTAAACATCCAGAGCAAGCATCAAATTGATCCTGACTCCAAAGCTTATTCCCTGGGAAAAAGAGCTGTGTTCGAGGGACTATTACAGGAACATTTTGGAAGTGAATTCATGGATGAACTGTTCGACCTATACACAGAAAAAGTTGAAGAAACTGCAGTTCTATTGAATCCTAAAGAGACATCTATGGTCACATTTGTCCTCCTCAAACGTGATATTAGAATTACTTGACCTCGTAGTACCTATTGAGGCAAATCACGGTTCCCTCCACGAATTTTCTTTTCTTGCATTTCTCTTCGAATTTAAGTGTGATTATGATTTTCTTTTACTGCCCTTGTTGGAAAATAAAACTCGAGGCAGCTAAGATGCTTTGTATCTTAAAATATGAAATTTATTGTAATTGAATTACATCAATACAGAGTGGTTGCAACAATATATTTAACAATCTACATGGGCCTTCCTAAAGATTTTATATAATTGAATGATTATATTTTGTTCCATTAGACTGAATATTTACGGGTAGCCAATTGCCAATTGTTATAGCCTATAGGAATACTATGGGTATCTGGTGGTCTATGATGGGTATCCATATGTATGGATGGGTGAAATTGCCTTAAAAAAAGGGAAAGACACTCTCCAAAAAAAATTATTTAAATTTGTATTTTTTATTTTAATATTATTTTTAATTTTTAATCAATCTAAAAATTATTTAATAATACATAATCAAATGTAGTTTATTTATTTTTATTTTCTCATTTATTTATTATAGTGACCAATAACATGTCATAAAAATAATTTATCGAATTGTTATCTGATCAGATAGTTATCGATGATCAGAATGTGATGTCTATGAAAAGATTAAAGGATTTGAAGAAAACAAATATTTTTTTTTGGATACATTGTTTTGACAATTTTAACTATCAATTAAGACGTCAT